TAAAAAGGAGTGGACTTAGTACGGTTCCTTGTGGAAGTCCTCTGTTTAAGGTTCTACTGTCGTAAAAAATACCCTGTTCATAGAAGTCCACCCTTCTGGGGCCGATTAAGTTGCCTAGGAACTTCTTATATCCTATAGGAATATTCATAGAATTAACAATCTTAAATAGTTTCACAGGGTCAACATTGTCATATGCTCCTCTAATGTCCAAGAAAAGGCCCCCTGTAGGGATCCTTTTAGTGAAGGCCCTGTAGACATGCAAGTTAATCAAAGCCAAACAGTCTTCACAAGACTTACCCCTTCTAAATCCGAACTGACAGTTAGGAAGAATATAGTTGAGTTCCACATATCTTTCCAGACGAGGTTTAATGCATTTCTCGAAAACCTTAAGAATACATGAAGACAATGAGATGGGTCTAAATCCTTTCTTGTTGGGTTTCGGGATCAAAATTGAAGAGAAATAAGACCATGATTTCGGATAGGAACCATCCTTTATTATTAGATTAAAAGCACGCGTTAATTGCTCGAGAGCTGAGAGAGGAAGCATTTTGAGCAAGTCATATCCTATCATATCCGGTCCAGGACTACTCTCGGAACGAGATCGGAGAATGCACTCCCGAACCTCAAAACACTTAAAAGGATGTAGGAAAAAGGAGTGAACTGAATTAGGAGAGACACCAGATTCAAAATCCTCACTCACCCATGGGGGAGCGTAATCGTCGATAAAATCCCTCACTAATTTCTTTTTGCTCTCGTCAGGAGCCGGTAGAGGATTGAGGAAGGCAGCTTTTTTAAACTTTTTGATTGTACTCCAAAACTTCCTAGGGTCAGAGATTAGATTAATGTTATCCACAAAATTACGAAAATTCTCTTTTTTCCTCTTGTTAATTACCTTTCGAGCAGATTGAGACGCTATTCTATATGCTAATAGGTTTTCCCTTGAAGGACGTATGGAAAGATTTCGGAAGTGCAATCTTCTCTCCTCGATTGCCTTTCGGCATTCCTCATCCCACCATGGCTTGTTAATATTCTGTTTGGTGTATTTATTATGATTATTATATTGGGCGTTGGTCGATTTATTGTAGAGGTGCGTTTCCACCATACGCTTTTTATTCGCATCAAAAAACTTAAGTCCGCCAGACCCGTCCGAGACTTTAGCTCCTGCTACGAGGGCGCATTCGATGACTTTGTTATACCAACTCTCATATAATTCTGCTCCGCTTCCAGCCATCTCTGGAAGAGTAGACATCGCTACATTAATGTTCTCGCTAAAGATTTCTTGGTCTAGTTTATCCATGAGTAATTTGCCTCTTCTCTTTTGATGAGGGTCGATAGAACAAGATCTTGTTTGTTGATTAAGTATGTTAATAGTAATCGGAACGTGATCGCTACCCAGTGAATCATGGCCCGTCGACCAGAGGAAATCTAATGAAGAGGAATTGGTTAAAGTTAAATCAGGGACGCTAATATATTCCGGATTAGCCGATATTCTCGTTCCCTCTCCATTGTTTAAGAAGAAAAAAGGAGATTCCTCAATAGAATTACTGAGGGATACCTCTTCCGAGGAGTCTCTGGAGGAGCCCCAGGATACATGTTGAGCGTTAAAGTCCCCGCAAACAATGCAGGTCGCTGACGGAGAGAAGTCTAAAATTCTCCGGAAAATACTGTCCCAGTCTACTCTGTCAATTCGAATTTTAGGGGGTCTATAAAGTGAAACCACAATAATTCTATCGGATGAGATTCTCGAGTCAAAAAAAGAGATACATGTAAATTCGATATCTTGAAAGTTAAAAGGAAAAATATTACATGCAACCGGATCGAGATTTTTTCTACAAATGATAGCTGTACCTCCTCCTA